TTCACTATTTTTTACAATCTTCTGCACTTTCACGGCGCGGTGACTGATGTTTTATATGCATATACAGGGTATACTAAAAGTCCGGAAACGGCCGAATATTTCATAAACTATGCATTTTAGAAAGAAATTATTCAGATGAAAGTTGTTTGGTTCGTAGAGTAACGACGGTGTCATTGGATTGATTTTGAGTAAATGTGCCAAGGTCATATGATGTTCAACTTTGTTTTTTAAATGAAATTCCCTATTTATCATTGCATATTCTTATAGCTTACCTTGAGAACTTTTCAAAATACTATAATTAAATGCTTTTTCATTCAGTACTTTCCGAGTTATGGGGCTTGAAAGTTACAGTACCGCCCGCATTAGCATTACCCAAGGTGTACCGTGTGGAGGTTGCACGTTCAAAACACTTCTTTTGTATTTACACATGGATACAATACCAAAAAGGTAAATTTTTATATAATAAACTTACTTTATTTTAATCTCTATTTTACGCAACAAAGTCAACTTCTTGCTGACAAACGGTGCATTGGTGCATATGATATAAATTTTTACATAAAAATAATTTTCCAATTTTAAATGTACACATGTTACATCATGATATTAAATTTATTTTCGTTTGTTTGATATAAAAACAGTTTTAAATTGCAACGAAAGAAAATCTGCAATGTGCAATGTGCAATAATATACATATACATATATATATTATATGTATATGTGTAGTTTTTAACAAAATTATATGTTTTGTCTGTATCAATCACTTTATCTTGTTAGTATATGTATACAAAAAGTTTTAGTATATTACATGTACACATATTTTAAATAACAAATTGTCTGGGTATAGTGCATGCTTTGTGATATTTTATTTTAATATGAAAAACAAATTGCATGATACAAATAATGCAGATAATACAGATTGAATTAAATTATTTGATAGTGAAAATTGTTATATAATAATTGCTCTTATACTAATATTACTATATCCTTTTATTACCTGAAATATAATACCTGTTAATAGAATAGCAGAAAGGAAAATAAATTGAAATCGAGTAAATTTGGATTGCTATAGGGCCATAAACCGATAGCAAGCAGTAAAACTTTATTGAGACTGTAATATCGTGTTTCTCTCTAGTTGTACCATATCTCTGCGAGCTTCTAAGTATTATTGAGAAGACTAAAGACATCTACGACATTATGTTCCCCTCTCTTTTTTCACTGGTCGATCGAATATTTTACTTCTTATTTCTTTTGATATAAATTTTGACGCAAATTTCATATTTTATGCTTGATTGTGTAAATTGGCTATAAGATAATCTAAATGCTTTTAATTCAGTCAATTTTCAACAATTGCAGATATTTATGTTATCGATTTATGACTAAAGGTAATTCAACAGGTGTGTTTTTCTCATAGAATTAAGTTACTAAAAAAAAACCACGTAGATGTATTTTCCCCCTCTCAGTATTGAAACTTTATTTCAGTGCACTCATTCGTAAGATACACTTAACCCTAAAAGGAAGTGTCTAACAAAGAAGATCATAACTGACTTTTCACCAACTGTTTGTAGTAATTCGTCGGTTAAGCCCTATACCCAATAAGAACTTTTTGTCAAAAGTGTCTTGTAAGGAACATTTTTTATTTTTGAAATTTGAAACAATTAATAATGTAGAATATAAAGAGACATATCAGTCAATGCCGTACGATGCGATGAGTGAACGTAGAACTAATAAAACTTCATAAAAGAATACAGATGTGAGACCAGCACTGTAAATGATCTGGAATAATTTTTCAATTATTTTGTATGTATAATATGTATTATTTGCCACGAAGCTGTATAGAAATAAATATCTAGTACATATTTAGGTAAGCACATATCTTCTGACATATTTTTGTAAATAAAATAATATTAAACAAAATAAAATATTTTTGCAGAGAAATATTTTGACTTTTATTTTATAGTTTAAAGATTCATGCGTTCTATGAAAATTTCTTAAACAATATAGTTAAAAATAAAAGTAAAATATTTTATTTTATTATTATTTTACCCAGAAAAATATGTTACAAGATATATGCATATACACATATGCACGACAATTGAAAAGATTTTTGACAGGTCAGTCAGGTCTCAAACCAAGATGCTCACTATTTTTTACTAGTCGTACTCATCCACCATGCCGTTCAACATTAATCAGCATGTTTTTTTTATGTTTTGTACATCTGTATATACATATAATTTACATTATTAATCCAAATTTCAAGACTTACATTAAATTTGTTTACATTATACTATTATGGAATAAAATATTAATTTGTATTACAAATTTTTTTTATTAATGTTATTACCTTATTTACTTTTCCGATAAAATATTTTGTTTGATATTTTAGATATAACATTTTAATATAAAAAATAATGACATATTTAGTTTGTAGAAGTATTGTTATAATTGGTGCAATTTGTTGATAACATTATTTAGGAGAGAAAATACTTTTGTAGAGAAGATAGAAATTATTATTTTTATAAAGGAGATAGAAATGCTTTTTTGTAACAAAATATTTCCAAAGAATTAAATCATATAGCTCTTGTTCAGAATTTTTTTACAAGGTATAACCGACAAAAAATTCTTGCAAGGTTTAACTATAATCGATTCAATACAAAAAAGATTATAATTGATAAATGATTAACTGCGATCTGTCCTTGTCAACTTCTTGTTTTTATACTGAATTTATCAGGTATAGTTCATATAATGTTATACATATATTTATTAACAAATACATGACTTAAATATTTATATTATATGTATATAAATAGTGGTACAAGATCAATTAATTAAAAGTAAACCCCAGTAAGTAAAAAACCATTAATAATATTATTATAATAATCTTCAGTAACATATTGTATAACGTTGTTCAATGAAAGATCCCATTTGCCTATATTTGCAATTGACATCAGCTTTGTTTGCCCACATTTTGCCAACAGATACATTTGCCAACATTCCCCTTTGCCTACAAAATAATTGTCTATAAGCATAATTGTGCATATGTAATAAGTACATTCGCGCATATGACCTCATTATGCACAAACACATTGTACACATGACATATATTATTGCACACACATACATATATTGACCACATGACTTTATTGCACACATACACATTGCATACATGATCATATTACACATAGATATGACATAAGAAAAAGATATTCACACTTTGAATACATGACTTTGTTATGTACATACACTTTGCACATATAACGTTAGTGTGCATACACCTTTAAAATATATGAGAGTAATTCTTAATGGTCAGTGTAAAAAGTTACATAATATAATATCATATTTAGTAACACAAATAAATATAGACAAAATAAATATATACATCTTTATTTTTATTTGAAGTACAGCACAAAATATATGATATCAATGCACCGTGGAAACCTGATGTACTAATATCTTGGTTCGAATAATTTTAATCTTACATATCTTCTATATCTTTATCAGCTTTTCACAAATATCTAAACCACATTTTCAAAAAATTAATATTTGTATTTTTAAAATATGAATACTGTTGCTTTTTCGTTAATGATAATTTTACCATACTGATACTAAATTCACATACTTGCTTCGTCATCGTGTAGAATATATGACAGTAAAGTAAGATACCGAAGTTTTAACCAGCTGTAATTATAAAGACGTTTCTTTTTGTAATATCTATTTCTACAATAATATAGTACTTTTTAGATATTCGACATCTTACCGTGGCAAAACCTTCCATAGATGCAATAAATAATCCACCAAAATTTAAAGCAAACTCCTTGGTTTCTTTTTGTAACAGGAATAATATCATCTTTTGTATGTGTATGGGGGCTCTATACCACTGCACATTGTATCTACGAAATAGTATACAGTTATTGTATATGAATCAAGTTAGAGACAAAAGCGTTTATATTAGTTACTATCACTTAAGCATATGGTAAGTCGATTTATTCTATAGTGATATATTAATTTGTATTTAATATAACTCTTAAAAAATAAACTCTTATATATTTTCATCTTTCTTACGCAGTAGAAAATACGTGACTATTATGATCTATTATATTCTGTCCAATATAGTTGGATATAAACATGTACAAGACAATAGCAATTACAAACATAACGGGAAAACACAATTCCATAAAATGATATCCAGATGATGCAATCCAGATGATCTGAAAAATGTAAGGAATTACTTTCTTGGACACACTTATTGGAAATGTGTTGTTCATATACATAATTTTTAAATAATTCACATGTGTACATACAATATTATTATACAAAATCGAAAACATACTTGAAATAGATTGATGCTCACGCAAATTACACCACACACTATTAAACAAAGTATCATGATCTCCAATACTGACATTAAGTGCTTATTCAATCTTCAAAAACAAAAAATATTACAAAATATACTGCCTGAATATTGTTGACGTAAATACAAACTTCATAGCTTGCCGGTGAATGTTGACTGCATATATTATGCCCTCAGTCATCAAAATCTTATTTTTTAGCGTAATGTTTTGCAATATATTGATATTCATTGCATGCTCAATACGATAGCTACAAATGTTGTGTTCTAATTATATAACAATTCATTAAATGATACAATTTTTCAGCTAAAAACAAATTTAAACAAATTTTTTATGTATATGTATATCCTATTATACAGGGTGCTCCGCAACTTTTTGATCGCCGTTCGAGAAGATAGAGGGACTTAAGACAAGCAAAAAAGTCCTCTACCATTTTGCACTTGGAGAATTAGTTATCGAGATATTGACGTTCAAAAATCGCCGTATTAGCCCGACCTACTGGCAAATGTAAGCACGCGGTGAAATGCGCCCGCCCGCCCATTGTCCGCCGCTCGCGGCGGTGCGCGGCGAGGAGTAGGGAGACTTATGAAAAAAGTTGACCGCTGTGCGAGCGGTCGCGTGAGCGGCGGATGGACAGCGGCGCGCCCCTCTAATTCTCACCACCTCGAAAGGCGGCCGATGGGCGGGCAGATCTCACCGCTTACATTTGCCAGTAGGTTGGGCTAATACGGCGATTTTTGAACATTAATATCTTGATAACTATTCCTCCAAGTGCAAAATGGTAGAGGACTTTTCTGTTTGGCTTAGTCCCCTCTATCTTCCCGTGAACGACGGTCGAAAAGTTGTGGAGCACTCTGTATAAAGATAATAAATGTTGTACAACAGTTGCAATTATTTATTGGACTTTTATAGTTAATTCTTATCCATATTGTAACACTTACCTAGCAATTTTAAACATTCCACAGGTATGTTGAATGTAAGTAATAAATATTGTACCTATTGCTACTATTATAATCATACCGATCCAAATTGTTACAGATATGTGCAACAGAATCAAGTAGAAATACTTCTTTTGATCGAAGTATTCTATCCCGGGTAAATTATATGATTGAGATTTATTCATTGGTACAACAATATTAATTAAATTCGACCAAAATTGAATTATAACACTACCAGAAATTCCGACAACTCCTATTGCTAGAGCAAAGAAAGTATCACATAAAGTCGTGAATGTGTAATATTATAAATTATTTTATGTACATGCATGTATATTAAGAAAAATATTTTTTAATAGACTTGCATACAAATTTTACGTTAATTCCTAGTTATTACACTTTTTTCGAATGAGTGTGTCACACTGAATCAATTTGACCCAATAAATTATTAAATAAATTTCAAACATTAAAGAAGATATTTTTATTACGAAAAGTTAATATTAGAAGTAGTATCATGTTGAAAAATTCTTAAATTTTTTAAAATTATGTTTTGCAAAAAACTTTTAATTGTTTAAATTTTTAACATTTTCATCTAATAATTTAGTCTTATGTCCTTAAAATTTTCTATTTTAATAAAAAAATAGTTTGTGAGTTTATTCCTTCTAAAAACATTATTTATTTTATATATTGAAGAAGGCATTTTTGGATTACAAAATAATTGGATTTATATATAAAAAATTAATTTATCATTGAAAATTATTAAAAATTAAAATTAAAAATTATTAAAAAATAATTTCAATAAATGAATTTTTTTACATAAATAAGTATAATCAATCCTCCGCACATCCTTCGCACTCATTACAAAAATACATGTAATGATTGCCAAACGCCAGACGTAAGCAAGAAGAGCATAGCAAGTGTATCTTGCTATCTTTTTTCACATTGCATAATACAAAACATTTCTGTAAACACTTTAGCACAAAAATAACAATACTGAAATCTGAGGAAGAACGATACCTATGTCACAACTGGGTTAAATTGATCTAGTGTTTACTGCTGCCAAACATACACTGACGCTTTAACTTTACAGGCAAGCATTTCTACTTGAGAAGGTGACTTGATATCACTACTATGAAAGACACCAATTATACAATTTTTATGCTTAAAAGACTACGTTCCGCCAAAGTCAAAGTCTGGGTCATTTTGACCAAGCGTAACAACTAAGTGTTAAAATCGAAATCTATTTTTCCATTTCAACTTAGGAACATATTTGTCATTTATCGTTAGTGCATGTTCGTGACAAATGCTTGACTATATCCATATAATAAATTCTATGTAAATGTATATACGAGTATGATAGTAATAATATAATTATAAAATGCTAGAGTCATTTCAGACTGTAATATGAAAGTTAATATATTATTTAATCAAATTATAATGCTAAAAGTGATTTTCGTTTATTTGACAGTTTATTATTAGCAGATAGCTTATATCCAATTAAAAATAAAATCATATGCAAAAATCAACAAACATTGTCTTACCTGTAAGCACAATTGTGTACCGTTTTGCAATACAACTATATTTTTTTACAATAGCAATTTCATTTTCATCCTTTAATTTGTTAAGTATATGTTGAAGCTCCATCAGTAATTTTTTCATCTGTCATTTTATTAACTTTATATACTATTGTTGTATATGTATATTTAAACACACTTTGTGTTATAAAACATTATTTGACAAACAGATTAATCCTAATGGATCCGGTTTAATGGATACTTTGTAAATCATGAACTTACAACTTCAATGTTAATACAGAATGCATTATATTTTATTATAAATATTGCAGAGAAAGATACAGAAGACAGCACCTTGGTAATAACATCCAAAGTGCATTTTAATGTTATTAATGGTGTTAGCTGCAAGTAGAAATATAATTCTACACAATTTTACTGGTATAAATAAGATTAAAAATAATATTTCAAATTGGCATGATATATCAATTTGTATAGAAGACAAATGTGGATATACTTGCATTGCATATCTATGTACCATATTTTTATTACACAATAATAATGTTACGATACGTTCATGAGCCTTTGCTTATTGTTGTATCAAAGTTTTAATAAGCAATGCAACACTCCCTGTTTAAACTGACATGCAATAACAATGCAATATATGTTGTTACTGATTATCCACAGGATGAATAGAATCTCTTGCTTAAATTACTTCGTACAATAAAAGTAACTGCCATCGTAGAGAATATTTTGTCCATAATTTTAATAATGAAACAAGTTATTCCAATTTATATACAAATTTTAATTTTAAATAACAGGAAAAAATATTTATTTTTTCACAAAATAATAAATAAATTTTTATATAAAAATAATTTTCCAATTTTAAATGTATACCTGTTCTGTATATCATGATATTAAATTTATTTTCATGTGTTTGATATAAAAACAGTTTTAAATTGCAACAAAAGAAAATATACAATGTGCAATGTGCAATAATACATATTGTATATGTATATGTATGTGTATTTTTAAACAAAACTATATATTTTGTCTGTATCCATCACTTTATCTTATTAGTATACA